TCGTCATCATAATCATTAGAATAATCAGCAACATCATCAGTAGCAGCATTCGCATCATCGTCATCCTCATCAACATCAGCATCGGCATCATCATCATCCTCGTCATCATCAGCATCACCACAGCATCATCATATGCATCTTACCGTCATCGTCATCATAAGCGTCAGCATCAACATCAGCAGCAGCATCGTCATCGTCGTCGGTGTCGTCGCCAGCATTAACAGCACCATCATCATCATCATCATCAGGATCATGATCATAAGCATCGTCATCATCAGCAGCATCACCAGCAGCAATATCAACATCATCATCATCATCATCATCATCATCATCAGCATCATCATCATCATCATCATCATCATCATCATCATCGCTATGATCATCTTTATCGTAACCATCACCAACAGCAGCCGACGTTGCCTGCCCGTGACTTCCGTAGCATGCCCTCGTGCACGCTGCCTGCCTCGAGCCCACCGTCTTCCTGCACGAACTGTGACTGCGGTACCCCAAGCCACCATGCCCTGCTGTTTGTCATATTTCTTGAGTTCGCGTGCGCTTGGGTGATGTCAGCGCCATCATGGAAGTTCCTTCGAATCGTGAAGCTTCTGCCCACAGGAGACAACGTAGATCCAAAACGAACTCATCAACGATGTCCGTGAAAAGAATTTGCGAAAACTTTGGAGTGCCACGCTCAAGGAAATGCCACTCAATCTTGCCACCACGTAAACCAATAAATGGGCGCAGGGCAGCTCAATGCTCCTTGCAATAGTGGAGCTACGAATGTCGACACAGGCCCTGTGACCCTCCGCCACCTGATCTCCCAATTCGCTCGGATGCGAGAGAAAATCGCTGACCGCGCCGAACAAGCAGCTGCGTGAAACTTTGGATACTGAAACCTAAACTGCAAGCCATCCCCAGACAAGCTGACGAGGTATTTCAAGGCCTGGATCCTTGGATGGCCCTGTGGTTTCCGGGACCGCGGTGGGGCACTTGCCCCTGTTCGCGCCAGCAACTGAGGTGGCGGCTTGCCGTCTGCATTGGAGCGGACGACGGGGGGGCGATCCGAAACTTGATGGACGTTTGCACTTTGAGGCTGCACACCGGTTGCCCACAGCGGTTGACAAACTTTGCGAACACATGGGCCGAGGCGCCTAAGCCGAAAGACTCGGCCGTGCCTGCGACGGGCGGCTAGATGTCGCTGTCGCGCTCGCTTGCAATCACGAGACATTCCTGCCGCCGCATCGATGCCGAAGTATGTGGAAGCCATCTTGCACTTGACTGAAAAAACACTGGGGTTAAGTAGATCCACGCAGCGTTTGTCCATCCATGTCCTTTGATGAACTGATGAGCTCTGTTTTGACCGAGACCGCCAACCTGTTTTGCTAAAACGCGCGGTTGAATTCATTCGCCGCGATGCGCATTATGATGATGGCCTGCTCATCATCATCCGCCTCTGCTCTGACAACGCCACCACGCAGCGGCCCCCTGACTACTTCCTGGTGGTCTTGGCGGTGGCGGGGGTGTCCTTCGTCCTGTTCCGCTGGGCCAGGTGGCACCGCGAACGGGTTCGGGCCAGCGGCCGACGCGCTGCCGACCCGACCCCATGCTGCAAACGCGCCCGAGTGGCGACGACCGAGGGGGAGAACGGCGTTGTTTCTTCTATGGGGATGTCATCGGACGAGCTTTTCAAATGTTATCCGTGGGGTCCGGGGCACCGCTTGGCCGCCGATGCGAACGTGTACGAGTTCAGTTTCACGCTCGAGCCGATCGAGATTTTGGGTGACCTCCTCTCGCCCCTGGGTCTTGACGAGAACGAGGGTTTCAACCTACGCAGTTTTGGACGCATCGATTCTTACTCTGGGGAGCCGGCGACGCACCAGTCGGCCTTTGTTTTGACCGAGTACGAGTCCAGTTTCACGCTCGATTCGCTCGAATTCTTAGACACGAACCTCCCCCCGTCCATGGGCTCGGCCAGGTACGAGGATTTCGACACGAATGACTCTTGGGGCCCGCTCTACGGAGGGGGCGGCAAAGGCGGCAGCAGGACCTCGCAGCGGGTTCGGACCGACAAGTCCCAGATTCAGGACCAGCTCATCGCCCTCGCGACGGCCGTCGCTGAGCTGCAGCGTGCGCAGATGGGCGCCCGCACCGCGCCGAAGGCTGGTCGTGTCGAGGCGCGGCCTTCAAAGCCCACCACCACTCGCCCTAGGCGCCAGAGGCGGCAGAGGGAGGGCATCCCGATCGTCGCCAAGCTGCGCTCCCTGCCGTCAGTCGCGGACGGCGGCATGAACGTCACGCAGACCCAGGTCATCTCCAAGCTCCGGGAGGTCATCTCGACTTTCACTCCGGGAGCGTCGCCCTCGGCGCGGGACGCGCCCGAGGCTCCCCCAGAGAAAGAGCCGCCCCAGGTCAGGGCGCGTCTTTTGCAGGGCCCCTGGGGACAGGCCAAGATCGTCACTTCCAGCGCGGTCCGGGCCTCCCTGGAGCAGTCCACCGAGCCCATGGTGATCCTGGCGGCCACCCGCGCGGAGCACGAGCAGTGCGAGCGCGCGAGGAAGGCCCTCGGGAACCGCCAGAACATCACCTACGTCGTCTTGGACAGCAACGGCCCCGACTCGGTCCTCCTCGAGGGCCGGCGCGGCCCCCGCTCCGCCAAGGCCAACATCACCTACCTCAGCGAGTCCGCGCCGAGGTGCGCTGGGCTCCACGCGGCTATGAAGGGCGACGAGCCCGTCCCAGCCACCAAGCTGAAGCCGGCCAATTTTCGGATCACGATCTCCGCGGAGGTCGCTGACGAGACCTCTTCCACGTCGCCTCTGCGGAGCCGCAGACCACCCCCGCCCTTGTCCTCGGGGACGTCCTCGCAGAGCGCGCGCTGCGTACCCGAGGTGCCATCGCCTACGACGCGGAGGTCACATGCATCGTCTCGACGACCGAGGCCAACGCTGCCGATTTCCGGACAGCAGTGCCACCGAGAGGTGCCTTCATCATGCAGCAGGACGCCCCCATCGCTCCGCGATGGCTCTCCCGGAGGGCCGACGAGGAGGACGAGGAAGGCACCCGCAAGTACTGCGACCGTGTCTGCCAGCTTGCGCAGCAGCGGCAGGGCCACATCTTGCACCGCCCCCACGGAACAGCCCAACTGGGAGTCGCTGGCGCCGCTGGGGTACATCCTGGAGAGGCCGACGCCATCAAATGGCATGTGCAGAACGCAAGAATTCACCACCTGGGCCACGGAGCGCGGCTTCCAGAACGTCGCCAACGCAGCCAGAGCAGGCGCCCGTGCGCGAACCTTCTTCGGGGACACGCCGGCGGGCGTCGTGGCCACAGTCCACGCCTTCAAGTCCGGGGCCGTCGCGTCTCGGGCTTTCTCGAAGAACGGCGCCCCCGCCAAGGCCGCCCGCCAGGCGACCAGCGGGGAGGCCCGCCAACGCCGGGGAGCTCCCAAGGCTTCGCCCCAGTAGGACGCCGCTGTCGCCCCCCCGCCTGCCGAGGAGAGGGCCGCCGCCCCTGCGGACGCCCCCTCGGGCGCCGCTGCCGCCGCCGCCGCCGCCGAGGGCGACCCAGCGGGCGGAGCTCGCAAAGCTGTAGCCGCCCCGCACGAGGCGGCGCCCTCAACAAGCACGCCAAGGGCGAGAACGGCAAGCCAGTCCCGGCTGGCCCGTCCGCCCCGCCTTTCACTAAGTTCTTCAACGTCCGAGCCTGCGGCGCCGGCGGGGACTGCATGCACATCGCCGTCGCAAAGGGGCCGGCCGCCATCGCGCCGTCCAGATGCACCCCGGCCGCCGACGACTTCGAGCCCAGCGGCCGGCCCCAGGGCAATCTCCGCCTTGCTGCGCAGGAGGAGGCCCTCAAGAAGACGTTCAAGGCGACCACGGCGGACGCCGACAAGATCGGCACTACAGGAACGCCTGCCTCCCCCCTGGCCGCGCGGCTGCTCGCAAAGCGGCTGAACGTCGACATCTACGCGCGGCCCCGTGCACCGGGCGCGGAGCAGTGGGTGCTCTACGGCCGGGAGCGGAGGGAAGTTACGGAAAAAAGAGCTGCGGTTGAAGTTGGAGCGGCTCCAGCCGAAGCCGGACCAGCAGGAGACGACCGAGCACCGCCAGGCCCTCGATTGCTGGCGCGAGAAGGCCCTGGGCTACCCGACCAGCGGCCTGCAGGGAAAGGGCCGCTCGCACGATCCCGACGCCGCGTCCATCCTGGGCATTCCGGCCCCATCCAGCAGGGCCGCCTCAAGCCGCGCGCCGGCGCCGCGTCTCGACCCCGAGGCCATGTCCATCCTGGGCATTCCCGCCCCTCCAAGCACGGCAGCCGCCAGCCGTGCCCCCACGCGCCGCCCCGCGGCTGCCACCTCCAGGGGGGCCCGAAGCATCCCTGGCATCCCCGCCGACAACCCAGACGATGAGATGCCAGTTGCCTACGCCAAAGGCGACTACCTCAAGTGCCCCTGCGGCCAGTGGGCGCCACCCGCCCCCCCCGCCCACCTCTCGGGGAGCCAAGCCTCAGCCTGGCAGTGCAGCAAGGCCACCGCCCACTGGCGGGAGTGCCAGGGCGCCGCCCCTCCCAGGCTGAAAGACCAGCCCGGCAGCGTCAGCCGCCGCGCCATTCAAGCAAGCTTTTGGGCCCGGCCTGCCTTTCGCGAGGCCCGCCGCGCGAAGCTTTTTGCAGCGCACTTGAAATGGAAGGCGGCCTTGCCGGCGAGCGCCCAGCCGGGTGCGTGCAGCCCCGATGAGCGCACGCTTTCCTCCAAGGTCCTCAAGCGCGGGGGCATCCAGCACCACTACACGTGTTCTACATGCAGCAAAAGTACTCACCTGACCCAGTTCAGGAACTACCCATGCAGGGCCTGGCCTGCCACCATGACGCGCCTCTCCATGCTCGCGGCGATGCGCGGAGAGGAGGCCGCCAACAGGGTCCACCAGGCGGAGAGCGCAAGCCGCAAGCGGCTTGCCAAGACCTACGCTACCAGCCGGAAGGAGCTCTACAAGATTCGCTACGCCGACCCCGAGCAGCGGAAGACGAAGCAGCTGAAGGACAAGATCCGCTTCGCGAAGTACCGCGCCGACCAGAAGCACATCGCCCTCCAGAAGCGCCTGAGCCAGGAGCGCCGCACGGCGAAGATCGCAAAGAAGCGGCCCGCCGCGGCTCGCTGAAGGCCCCCACCTGCCGCAGACCCCCCCGGCACGGCGGGGGGGGCGAGAAGGGGGTGACGCAGCTGCAGGTTGCCGCCCTCAACGTCACGAGCCTCCGGGCGGACCGCTTCACTTCGTCACGCACATGTTTTATGTCTTCAGGAGGTCCGGCTAGCCTCCGCCAAGCCCGCGTGGGTCACCAGACTCGCGCTCAAGCACGGTTGGCGCGTGGCGCGCTCCACGCCTCCACCCACGAAAGCCAAGCGTGCCGTTCAGCTGGGCGGCACTGCCATTTTATGGCGCCCATCTCTTGGGCGCGTTGCTGTTCATCCTGCCGCTTCCCATCGTGAAGTTGCTTCGTACCAAGCTGGGAGTTTTTACATCTGGGCATGGGCCAGCTGCAGTGCGCTCCGACCCCTGGATGGAGGAAGTCGTCAATTTCACATCCACCGTGGCTCGTGGTACTCCGCCGGTGCCGTGGTGCATCGCTGGCGACCTGAACTGGCGCCCCTCCTACGTCGACGCGCTGCCGACGCACGCCGCCCTGTGTGCCGCAACTACGCCTACGACCCTAGCAGGGGCCTCTCCTACGCGAGCCGTGGGGGCCGGCGTCGAGCTGAAGCTTGAGAGCGTCGCCTTCCCCCCGCTCATTCCTCATGACGGGCTGGTGATCTTCTCTGCGCAGGTCGCCGCCCCGTCGGCGCAGGCAACGCGAATGCGCCGCACTACACGGTTCACGCTCGACCCGGGCACCATCCTGCTGGCGAGCGACACCGAGGAGCTGCAGAGCCACATGGGCGCCTCCCTGCCGGCCTGCCCAGCCGCCGCCCCTCTCCCGGAGAGGTGGGAGCGATGGCGCGCCCGGGCCGAGGGGGCACTGACGGCAGCTGCCCACCAAGGGTGGGCATTGCAAGACGGGGCCGCCGAACGCCCCAAGGGACCCCCCCCCTACCTCGCGCAGGGTGGCCACGACTCCAGCGGCGCGGCCCGCCGAGCCGATGGAGCTGGTACGCCTGAAACGCCTTGGTCGCCGCGTTGCCCCCCAGCTCCGCGACCATGCAGACGAGCTCATCGCTGGCCCTCTTCTGCGCCAGTACGTGGACTCGGCCCTCCGGGGCCGGTTGACAGCTGGCCCGAATAGCCGGCCGACGCACGCAGAGGCGCGCGGCAAGATCTCGAAGGCCATCTCCGCGATCCAGCGGGACCTGCTCAGAGATCGCCGCTCCGAGTGGCGCCGCCTCTCCCAGCACTTCACGACGGACACGTGGAGGGCCGCCACTGAAGAGGTTCATGGGCCCTCCGAGTGTCCCAGTTTCAACGCCGAGGACATGGCGGAGGAGTGGAAGCGAGTGTGGGCCCCGTCAGACCCCAACTACGACGAGCAGAGGCGCGCGGCCAGGTGGGAGCAGCACGCCTCGGAGGCGCGCGAGCCCTTGCCGAAGACCGCCAACGCCTACGACGAGGAGTGGTACCCCCCTCTTACGCCGACTTCCGGGTCGCCGTGCGCAAGGCCAAAGGCAGCGCAGGCTATGACGGTTGGCACTCTAGCGAGCTCAAGCTGATCTCCGAGCATTTCGAATTCTTGCTTTTCGAACTCTACACGCTACGGCGGGACACCTGCGAGACCCTCCTGCGGTCGAGAGGCCCACCACCGAGCTCCAGCACCTCCTCTTCGCCTGGCGGGTTGTTGGGGTGCCAAAGAAAGACCCGACGCAGTCCCGGGCTATAGGGTTGGGCTCCGTGCTCCTCAGGGCCTGGCTCACAGCTTGCGAGCCCAGCCTGCCCACGCCACAGGGCGCTCAGTTCGCCTGCAAACCGGGCTCCACGGTGGTCCACGCCTGCTGCTTGTGGCTGCACGCCTGCCAGCACGGCTCGTGCGGACTGGAGCGCGACCTGTCCAAGTGCTACGACAACGTGCCGCATGCGGTGGCAGACGCGGCGCTCCGCAACGCCCAGACGCCACGCCGAGTGCGGGCGGTGACTAACGCTGCCTGGCGGGGCCCTCGGAGGTGCCAGGTGGCGGGAGAGCTGGCCAGTGAGACACTCTGGCCTACGCGCAGCCTCGCTCAAGGGGACAGCACGGCGCCGAAGGTCCTGTGCCACGCACTTTCCCCCTGGGAGATCAACGGCACCAAGTTCCTTTTCATGGGCGACAGGTCCGCCGTCTTTGACTCCGCCCCGCAGATGGAGTCGGACGTGCAGGCCACCAACGCCTTCGACTCAGGCACGGGCGCTATCGAGAACGTCGGGAAGCGCCAGGTCTGGAAGCGAGGGGACAGGACGCATATCAAGCACATCGGCATCCTCGCTGTCCCTGATGCTCCGGATGAGCCGATTACGCCTGCCGGGGGCTGGACCAAGCTCCGCAAGTACTTGCGCGCCATCCGAGGCCTCCCGGGAGGCAGCGAAGCCAGGGCCACGGCGGTCTGGCCCTACGCTAAACCGTTGTGGACTTGGTGTTTCCCGGTTTTCTCTCTGCCGCCGCCCGACGTCGCCCCAGCAGCGATGTCAGCGGTGCTTTCGACGAGGTGCACTTGGTAGTGCCGAGGCCGTTTCTGGGCCTCGAATATCGACCTGCACCCCTTCTTCAGCGCGGTGCTCACGGCCATTGATCGCATCACCACCTGGGACCTCCGCTGGAGTACATTCCTCGAGGTGAATTTCACGACGTTCTTCGATGCCATAGGCTTCGAGTTCCTGCAGCACGACCCAGAGCGCGGAGTGCAGTTCCGACGCTCGGTGGAAGAGCCTGATGTCCGAGTTCGCCGATTGTGCGGGCGCAGACGCATCTTCTGGAGCGACGAAGAGATGGTGCCGCACCTCCTTCGCCAAGTATGCCGGGCGAGAGCTCTTGCCCACGCATCCGCGTCTCGCCACGACTCGGAGGGGGTCGACCAGATCGACCTTGAAGCCTCCTCGGCACGAGCGTGGTCCACTTTCGGGGGCTCGCTGACCCTGGAGGACAGGATCCACTTGAAGATCTTTCGCTGCGGAGCGACACACAGCCCGACGAGAAGATGGAGCACCACCACGCCCGATCTTACGGCGGCCTGCCCGTCCCGCGGGGGTCCCCATCGACTGAGTGCGCGCCACTACGTGGCCGAGTGCGCCGCCCTGGCGGGTTTCCGGCAGGAGCTGATCGACGCGTACCACATCCCACCTGGCTGGTGGGCACGCCAGCCGCGGGCGACGCTGAAGACGGGATGGATCACTTTCCCGGCTTACGCGCCCGCGGCCCGCAGAGCGGAGCTCCAGGTGGCCGTCTGCCGCATGGGGCTCGTTGCCATGGCGGAGATGGCAGAGGATTGCGAGGCGTTGAAGAGAGCCTAGGGCATCCGAGCGACTTCGTCCCGATGTTCGACTTTTACGGCTTGTTTTTCGACCTCCTCCTCCTCTCCATGTTCACGTTCCCCCATTTTCTAACTTTCGTTCAGTTGTTCCTGATGCGCAACTCGCCCCTCTGCCCTGGCAACCGCATCATCGACGCATGTAAACAGCAACGGCCCAGGAACAACTCGATGAGCTCGGTCGAGGGTAGGGCGGATAGGGCTGTCTGCCACAAGGGCTGTCTGCCACAATCGACTTGGCAACCTGAATAACCATCCCCGTCCGATCCTTGATATTCAGGAGGCGCGGGGCAGCATGCAGCTGCACCTCCATCGGCACAATCACCGAGGGGTAACCAACAGAGCGCGCCGCTTCCATGAGTAAGCGCCAGGAGGCGCTGCCATAATACATCCCCCAATCAATAAGTAATACAACGAAAAGCATGCCATGGACGGAGCCAACCTCGTCGCAGAGAGCGCGGACCCGTGCCGCGCGCAGAACCGACGAGCCTTCTAATGCCGTGTCCCAAAAGGCTAGGAGACTGGCAGACAATTCAGAAGCAGGGCCCGTTCGGGGATGGCTCTAAACTTTCCCCATGGCGCTGCAATCTACGTTGAATTCTGGAGAAAGGAGAGAGAGAGAGAGAGAAAGAGAGAGAGAGAGAGAGAGAGAGAGAGAGAGAAAACAAAAAAAAAAAAAAAAAAAAAAAAAAAAAAAAAAAAAAAAAAAAAACGAACAACAAAAAAAAACGGCCGAAAAACCCAACCATATGCAGTTGTCAGCACCGCAGCTGCGGGTGTCATCTTCAGTGGAACTCCCCATATGACCACGGAACGTGTGAGGGGCGTGCCGAGATGGGTGCCACTGGGGCATTCGGTGAAGCTCCCTATGGGGACATGCAACACGCGCGGGGCGTGCCGACATGGGTGGCGGAAACGCATGTGAGGGCCGCCACTGGGGCCTCCAGTGGAGCTCCCTACGGGCCCCCGAAGCACGATGCTGCTGCGGGGGGGGGGGGAGGGGGGGGGGGGGCGGCATGGGTGGCGGAGACGCATGTAAGCGCCGCTACTGGGGCCTTAGTTGCAGGCTGACCGAGCGCGGCGCTCGGGTCCGCACGCCCCCCCGCCGGCGCGCCAGCCAGCAGGGGGCCCAGGCCGTCCACGACCGCGAACGCGAGGCCGAGGGCGCCGAGGGAGGGCGCCGCGGCCGCCCGCGCCAAAGCGGGGCCCGCCGCCGCCCGCGAGGCCAGCGACGCCGCCAAGCGCCATGCGCGGCGGCCGCCAGGCCGAGCCCCACCGCCGAAGGGCAGGGCGGAGCGGGGCCAAGGATCCCCGAAGGGGCGGCGCCCCCGCAAGCGCGAGGACCTAGTGGGGGAGCACCAGGTCCAGCACGCGCTGGAGCTCCTCGCGCAACGCCTCCGAGGGCGGAGGCTGCGCGCGGAGCAGGACGTCGTCGGCGGCCGCCCGCGCGCCCTGGCACGCCTCGAAGGAGCCCAGTGCCGCCGGCCCGCCGACGGGCAGCGCGGCGCGCACCGCCCCCAGGGAGCCCGCCGCCGCCCCCGCCGCCCCCAGCGCGACCAGAGGGGGCCCCAGGGAAGCCGCCGCCGCCTCGGCAGGCGGGCCGAGGCCCGCGCCTGCCGCCGCCGCCGCCGCCGCTGCACCCGAAGCAGCCTCCTCCGGCAGCGCCCGCCGCCGGCCCCGCCTCCCCCGCGAGCCCCGAGACGCGCGAGGAGGCAGGCCGTCGGCCCACTCGTCGCCCAGGGGTCCGCCCATCGCGTCGTCGTCGCCGTCGCTGTTGCCGACCCAGCGGGGTCCGCCAGCGGGAACGCCTCCGCGAAGAGCATCTCCCCAACTTTCTTTGCCAGGAGCGCCAGCCGCGCCCGCCGCGCCCGCGGCAGGGGCCTCCGCCCCGGGGGGGGCACCAGCAGCAGCGCGCCGCGCCGCCAGCCTCGCCCGCCGCCTGCGGCGTCGCTCCTTCTTGGCGTGGTTGGGCGCCCGAGGCGCAGCCGCTTCAGCAGGCGCAGGCCGCGCCGCGGCGCCTGCCGCGAAGGCAGCCGCCGACCGCGCGGAGCGCGCCACCGCAGCAACGGCGCGCCGATGAGCCCCCGCGTCCACGGCCCCGCGGACCGCCGCGCGCGCCAGCAGCGCGAGGCCCATGGCCGTGCAAGCCCCTCTAGCCGCGCCCAGGCCAGCCATCCCGAGGCGGAAGGCCGAGGCGGAGGCGCGGCATGCGATCGCAAAGCCAGCTTGAGCCAAAATGGCTTGAGCCAACATGGCTTGGGCCGAAATGGCTTGAGCCACAATGGCTACGGAGCGCTACTGGGGCCTTCGGTGGAGCTCCCTATGGGGCCACGAAACGTGTGAGGGGTGTACTGGCATGTGTGGCGGGGACGCATGTGAGCGCCGCCACTGGGGCCTTCGGTGCAGCTCCCTATGGGGCCACGAAAGGTGTGAGGGGTGTGCCGAATTGGGTGCGGGTGGTGATGCATGCGGGCGGTGCCACTGGGGCCTTCGGTGGAGCTCCCTGTGGGGCCACGAAACCTGTTGTTGTGAGGGGCGTGCCGGGATGGGCGGCGGGGGCGCATGTGAGCGCGGCCGCTGGGGCCTTCGGTGGAGCTCCCTATGGAGTCACGAAACGTGCGGAGGTGTGCCGACTCGGGCGGGTGTGGGCGACGCATGCGAGCGCCGCCACTGGGGCCTCCAGTGGATGATGGGGCCACGAAACCTATGAGGGATGTGCCGACATGGGTGTGCGGGACGCATGCGCATGAAAGCGCCGCCACTGGGGCCTTCGGTGGAGCTCCCTATGGGGCCACGAAGCGTGTGAGGGGTGTGCCGAATTGGGCGTGCGGGACGCATGCGGGCGGCAGCGCTGGGACCTTCGGTGGAGCTCCCTATGGGGCCACGAAGCGTGTGAGGGGTGTGCCGACTTGGGCGTGCGGGACGCATGCGGGCGGCAGTGCTGGGGCCTTCGGTGGAGCTTCCTATGGGGCCACGAAACGTGTGAGGGGCGTGCCGAATTGGGCTTGCGGGGCGCATGCGTGCGGCTGCATTGGGGCCTTCGGTGGAGCTCCCTATGGGGGCCACGAAACGTGTGAGGGGTGTGCCGAAGTGGGTGTGCGGGACGCATGCGGCCGGCGCCACTGGGGCCTTCGGCGGAGCTCCCTATGGGGCCACGAAACGTGTGAGGGGTGTGCCGAAATCGATGTGCGTGGCGCATGCGGGCGGCACCACTGGGGCCTTCGGCGGAGCTCCCTATGGGGCCACGAAGCGTGTGAAGGGTGTGCCGAATTGGGTGTGCGTGACGCATGCGGGCGGCACCGCTGGTGCCTTCGGCGGAGATCCCTATGGTGCCACGAAACGTGTGAGGGCCGTGCCGAATTGGGCGTGCGTGACGCATGCGGGCGGCAGCACTGGGGCCACGAAGCGTGTAAGGGGTGTGCCGAATTGGGTGTGCGTGACGCATGCGGGCGGCACCGCTTGGGCCTTCGGCGGAGCTCCCTATGGGGGTGTGCCGAATTAGGCGTGCGGGACGCATGCGGGCGGCACCGCCGGGGCCTTTGGCGGAGCTCCCTATGGGGCCACGAAGCGTGTGAGGGGTGTGCCGAAATGGATGTGCGTGGCGCATGCGGGCGGCACCACTGGGGCCTTCGGCGGAGCCCCCTATGGGGCCACGAAGCGTGTGAGGGGTGTGCCGAAATGGGTGTGCCGGACGCATGCGGGCGGCACCACTGGGGCCTTCGGCGGAGCTCCCTATGGGGCCACGAAACGTGTGAGGGGCGTGCCGGATCGGGTGTGCGTGACGCATGCGGGCGGCGGCATTGGGGCCTTCAGCTGAACTCCCTATGAGGCCACGAAACGTGTGAGGGGTGTGCCGAATTGGGTGTGCGGGACGCATGCGGGCGGCACCACTGGGGCCTTCGGCGGAGCTCCCTATGGGGCCACGAAACGTGTGAGGGGTGTGCCGAATTGGGCGTGCGTGACGCGTGCGGGCGGCAGCACTGGCGCCTTCGGCGGAGCTCCCTATGGGGCCGCGAAGCGTGTGAGGGGTGTGCCGAATTGGGCGTGCGTGACGCATGCGGGCGGCACCACTGGGGCCTTCGGCGGAGCTCCCTATGGGGCCACGAAGCGCGCGAGGGGCGCGCCGAAATGGAGGAGGGGGGAGGGGGGGGAGGAGAGGAGAGGAGAGGAGAGGAGAGGAGAGGAGAGGAGAGGAGAGGAGAGGAGAGGAGAGGAGAGGAGAGGAGAGGAGAGGAGAGGAGGAGAGGAGAGGAGAGGAGAGGAGAGGAGAGGAGAGGGGTGGGAAACAAGAAGGAGGAGAGAGAGAGAGAGAGAGAGAGAGAGAGAGAGATGAAGAGGCCTTTTCCTCTCGACGGTCTCTGGGGCCGAAGGCTGCGGGCTAGCCTCTGACCTTACTTCCCTGACCACCGCGCATCATGCATCCACCTACGCCTCGGATATACCTCGCCTATACATGCACAACACCGACGCGCCCCCTCGGCGCGCTGAAGCTGCGCAGAGGTCGCGTCGAACCGAGATCTGCAGCTCTTTCCAAACAGATGCCCTGATGCTAGCCATCTTCGCCATCAAATTTGCTGTTCACTCTCATGTGCAGGAGGTGCGCCGCTCCGAGGCCGGCGAACCTTATGGCCTTTAGCCTCTGTAGCTGAAAGGCCCGGCCTTCTGGCGCTGCTGGAATGACTGCAAAAAATCGATGTCGCGAAAGGCTTCCCCTCCCACGGGGCGCCTTCCCTCGAGCAGCCCCTTTCGGGCCATGCACCTGGAGCCGCTCTGCGGTGGCCCTGCGCATTCCTCCAGAGAGCCCCCGAAGAGAGAGAGAGAGAGAGAGAGAGAGAGAGAGAGAGAGAGAGAGAGAGAGAGAGAGAGAGAGAGAGAGAGAGAACAAGGAAAAAAATATCCTGGCGAAGGACCCAACCATATCCAATTGTGAATACTGCAATTGTGAATATCTTCTCGGTGGAGCCCCCTACGGGGCCACGAAAC